ATTATAATAATAGCGAAAAAGTTGCACATCTTCGCGAAATATGAGAAAAATAATAAAAATATAGGAGATTACGTTAATATTTTCATTATATTAATGACATACACACACCAAAAAATTAATTTAAAAATATCTACACAATCTAAACACCATGGTGAATCAAATGATATCAAATTCACACAAGTCCGTGTAGCGGTTTGTAAATTACAGCGACAACAAAACATTTTTGTTTTTGGTTCGAAAAAATAATGTCATCATATTTATTTTTTTAATTTTATACAAGAAATTTCAGACAAAAATGTTGGGGTTATTCTGCTATTTTACCCGAATTTCGCCGAAAAATTGACATATATACAAATAATAACATTTTGTGTATAAGTATACGCCTTGAGGATTATATCAAGACCCTTTCGATAAATCTTGGGGTTCTATAAATAGGAATAAATCTTAAAATAAAATAATATTATGAAATATACAATACGCGAATAATTTACGAAAACTCCATATGCCATTAACACGCATCCGATTTCGTTGTGCATTCTAAAAAAATACATCGATCTATACCGATTTCAATGTAGTCCATTAAGAACCATGTATGTGCCAGCTCACACTATTTTTGAAATAAATTGGGTACATCTCTCTTTCAGCTGAAGTTTTTAAAGTTCTCTTTTCGAAAAAGATCAAAATCCGTATGAGGTCATTTATTGAAGCAGAAATGATCCACAGAAAATACAATTAAATCCGCGATATTTTCAAAAACATTTTTTTCAAATTTCGTGTTTTTGGAAGGCCAATTCCCGCTGTTTTAATTGAGGGATTTTTACGAAGAAGATTTTATATCATCCGAAACGTAAAAAACCTTAATGATCGCGGGAATTTTATTATCAACCGTAGCCAAAGCGTTTTTGAAAAATAAATGAACGTTCAATTTCAGTGTAAGAATCAGACTAACTTTATTCTTTATTTAATTTTTAAATGAAACCTTTACATTGTTATAATAATGCTTACTTAGCTAAAATTGATTAACATGCAATTTTAGTTATTTTGTTTAAGTCGTTGGAAAATATTATGAGCTGATTGGAAATATGCTGATGTAGTTGATTGGAATTGTTTATGGCCTGATTGAAATTATTTGGAATTGTTTATGGCCTGTTTTCAATTATTTATAATTTAAAATATAAGAAAGGTTTTGTACCAGAAATGGCATTTTTGTTAATTATTGTCTGTCTTTAGTTATTTCATTAATAAGTTCTTGGAATTTATCATGTTGGTAGGTATTTTCATATGTAACACCCTCCCCTTTAAATTAGAATTCTCCTGAATTCGATTATTCAAATTTATTTTTATGTGACTAAATTTTGTTCTCCAAATGAGGATTATTAATATAATAGAAATTATGACAAAAATATTACATCCGTATATAATTTTATTATGAGTTTTTAAAGTCAAAATATTTTGAAAGTTAGCATTATTTCCATCATATATTTGTTCAAATGTTATCTTTTCCGTAAGATTGTATATATCATCGTATTGTAAGCTCATAAGGTTTTCGTTGACCTTTTCAATTAAATTTGAAAAATAGTAATCAATAGTAATCATTCAAAAATATGTTATTTGTTGTTAAATGCTTGTTTTCATTTTCATTAATATTTTGTATTAGACCGTAGCCAAAGGGTTTTTCAAAAATAAATGAACGTTCAAGTTCAGTGTAAGAATCAGACTAACTTTATTCTTTATTTAATTTAAATGAAACCTTTATATTGTTATAATAATGCTTACTTAGCTAAAATTGATGAACATGCAATTTTAGTTATTTTGTTAGTCATTGGAAAATATTATAAATATAATATATATATTGTTCGCGTTTTTAGTTTTGTGTTGAACAAATGTCAAATAAACACAAACACTTGTTGCGTAAATTTATTTTATTTTTGGCAGAAGAAGCCACACGTGCATAGTTACTTTTTTGTTATTCACCTCAAGCTACCCTACCTTGTATTATTGTACCATGGTGCCTACCATAATAAAAAAGCTATAGATGTGTAATTTGACACTGGTAAAAATGAGACGTAGTTTCAGTTCTTGTTGTATTGTTCTTTTATTTTGTACTAAATTTTATTTTGGTTGCGGATCTGAAAATTTTTTTGAGAACACATTCGTGATTTTTGGTACATTAGTTAAGGAATATATGTTGATTCAAAATCTGTTTGCGTTCACAAATTCGGATGCTGCCCACAAAAGTTATAGCGGTTTTAAAACTTGTATTTCAAATATAAATTAAATGAAATCCTATTTGTCGTAATTCACGAATTTCTTGACAAGTGGTTAAACACATTTGTTTTCTTTGCATACTAGTCAAATCACATTGAAATACGGTTTAATAGTCGCGAAAAACATAAAAGGTTGAAAATATCTGAAAATAAAACAAATTAATTTATGAAATGTCACCAAAACTTTTTTCAATTTTTGATTTTTTAGTATGGAATACGATTTTGTCTAGATCTTCTAAAACATATGAGGATTTCTTTTACAAACTCTATTAGATGATTGTTAAATGTCGGTTGATCCATCTGTTAAGAGTTTTGACATTAAAAATGATTAATGCAGTTGCAGCATATGAAAATGACCAACATTAAAAAGCATACAGTTCGCGTATTCGTTGAAATCAGTTGATGGGAATATGGTTTTCGTATAAACCGAATCAATCTCTTCCAATAATTATGAATTTTTCTATGTTTTATTTAGCGGCCAAAATGTGTCGATGCAAACCCCCTAAAAATGACGCAACGTGCATAAGATTTTTATTCGCATTTCAGTAATCTTCTATGAAAACACACAAAATTACAACTATTTTAAAACGATTGGTTAAAAACCGCGGATGAGCCGCCGCAATCAATTTTGGATAAAATACGCATATTTTTCGCGTATTGATGTATTTCTGACCTATTTTTACACAGATTCGCGAATCGCGACAAATCAGGAACGAGCACAGAAAAACTCTCTGGCTTCAATGCTTTTTTACTACCATCACATCTTCCACCCAACTTATTATTTATTACCAATATTTTAAGATTTTGACAAGAACACTTCATTTTATAGAAATGAATATAAATTATATGCATATTTCGCGAGTTATAAGCTTGCAAAACTCAGTTTCAAGGAATTTAAAAGATTTTTGTAATTTCCCATATAACCTTGTTAGCATTTGGATTGATGATATACAAATATGGTAATATATCGCATTAAAAAAAATTCTAATAGGTTTATCATTAATTGCAGTCAATTTAAGTTTTTTAAATGATTGTCATTCATATTTCGCTGATAACCCATGTGTACCATACAATGCAATGGCGCCATCTTGCCGTTGATAGTAAAATAATTAATAGTATTAAGTGTTGATAAGAAACTGTTGGTAGGTGTATGGCTGCAAAAATGCAAAGCAAAATATTTCAGATTTCTTTAAAAAATTATGAAATTACATTATTGTATCCTCTTTTTAGTGATCATGATTATTTAGATTTCTTCTGACTATTTGCAAATATTATCGCTCCATCATTTTATTAAAAGTTATCAATGTTAATGGTGTTCTAGTGCTTTTGAAACTGTAATAAGGGTTTGTTAAAATGTAAAAGGCCGCTATTTTTATCTGTAAGTGTATTCAAATCGAAGAAATAAATGATGCTCCCATCAAATAAGTTCCCAAACAGAAATGTATCCCCAAAAAAGAAATATGAAATATCTCCCCACCAAAATTACGGAAATCTCCAAAATAGAATAAGACCCTCAAAGTGGGGACTTATTTTATAATAAAATAAAACCCGAATTCGGAAAATGAAATAAATCCCCAAATAAATTGCATTTTCTATAATATTGTTTTTATCATATTTTGAAGAATAACAAAAAAAGGACTTGTATATGATTTTGTGTGAATATTAATATTGTATTTTTTACAATTCCACGATAATGGGCATTAAAAGCCTCTATCGTTTTCAGCAATCGCGTTAGCATGAATTTTAAGAACACGTTCGCAGCACATTTTAAGGTGCTGCGAACTGTGTTCGAAGCATTAGACATGCAAACAACAGAAATATTATTCTCTACTCGCCTTTCTTCAAATATTTCATCTTCGTCGAAGAAGAATCTTTCAAAATTGTATCCTAGAATAGGCATTCTTTTGCGCATATTCCGCTTCTTTCACAGACCATTCGAGGTCGAAAAGTTTCAACAATAATCATTCCTGTTGCCCTTTCTATTTTCTGGTCTTTCACAGCACTGTAGAGGTAGTTCGAATTTTATTTTTACAGACGCTAAAGTTCAGGATTGTAATCTGTAAATGAGATTTTGTTTCTATTATAATATAAACTGTATATTTTTAAATACATCTTTCTCTGCATCCAAAAACCTTTGAAACATTTTATGAATGGCATAAATAACCCGTCTCCGGCCATAAACAAACATGTGATTTAATGAGGGTAAATGCTCCATTAATTATATCCCCTGGTAATATTGGCAATGCTAACATTTTATGATATAGATCCGAAGTTCTCTTACTATGTCTTATGAAGCCCAAAAAATCTTGTTTTTAATTAGGGTTTTCCCGACAGTCTGACACAAGTGAAACCTAAAGATATACACTATCTACTGTTATAAATGCAATTTATTGAGAAATGAAGTATTTGAAAGGAAAAAAGGTTTTGTTTAAACTATCCTTTTTAATTTTTACATATTTGTTTAAAAATAATAATATCCAAATTATTCTTAAATTCTTTGAGAATTTTATAAAAATTCAATTATCATAAAATGGTGAATTCCAAATAAAAAATATTTAATACAAAAAATGTTTTTAAATTTAATTTTTATTTTAGAGCATATACAAACTTTTTTCTCCATTAGTTTATTAAACTATAATTAAAAAGGAGACAAAAATTATCGATTACATTAATACTGTACAATTCCTGTGTTGTAAAAACGAATATGTATGCATATACGGGGTGTCATACATCTTAATGGACCAAATATTTCTTATCATCATCGGGACTATTATGAAATCGTACAGTTTCAAAGCCATCGACCAAAATTTGACGATCCTCATCATTGCTGGTATCTCTACGTAGCGACTGCAGATTTGCATATACCGGCAAATACCTACGCAGTTGAGGTATTTTGCGCCAATATTTACGTTTGTAACATACCCACAAAAATGTTCCTGCTGCTCCCAATATGAAGAAAACCAAAAATATATTCCAACCATGTGAAGAACGACCAGCTAATTTTGTTTTTGCATATACCATCTGTACCCCATTGCAATTAGTAATGGCAACCCAATCGGTAAATGTGAGGTGGCCAAATGATTCCACACGGACAGCAGCTTGATTGAAAGTTGAATTGAGGTAACCTTGATATAGATAATTGTTGCGTTGATGTTCGCTACGTGTCACACAATGCATATGACCCTGGTAGGTTCCATTTGTGGATGCATTCAAATATCTAAAATGTATAGCGTACAGAGTTATGTAGCCATTAGGATTCTTAGGTTCCTTAAAGTGCACTCGATATTCATTATTGTGTGACATTTTACAGGCCGTCAAATCATATATTCTATCCGCTGCCTCGGAATAATTGGTCCTTTCGTTAATAATACGAAAAGAGCCACAGCCAGCACGATTACATGCCTGAACTTGAATACCATAAAGTTGATAACGTTCCAATGAACGTATGGTATAGTTCGTCTCTGCGTGCTCTAGACGTTTGGTCAACAAAGCATTAGCATTATTTGTATAGTTATCCTCCAGTGGATTATTTGTGCAATATTTTTTATTATCCAGTGAACATGAGAACTCTTTTTCCAATTGTCGTTTAAATAGATCATCCTCGGCTTCTTCCAATCGACGACTACAGCAATCATCATAATCTTCATTGTGATAATCGGAAAATTGTTTTACTCCATCTATACAGTAATCCCGCTGATCTAACAAATGTTGGTTTTCTGGAATTTCATAAACTTCCAGCATATAAAAATCCACCAATTGATCTTCATGATTTTCATAGGACAATTGCAATGTCAACGAGTTAGAGGTCTTCTTTGTAATGCGTATCAATGGAGGCGGTGGTACATTCACTTGAGTTGTAATAAATTTAATTTCACTACGTGCCGCTGGAGCGGCATCATCTTGACCAAATGTTTTTACCAAGCATGCGTATTTGGTATTGGCCGCCAGATTTTGTATTTTATAGAAGTAATGGGTGTTGTTTTTATCCAAATCCTGGGTAAATTTTAAATCTCTTTGCCAAAATATGCGTTCACATACGTTTGTGTCCAATTCACTGTCGTCATTAAAGGGTTTATTGGGATCTATGGGCCGATATATAATTTCAACTTGTTCAAATGTTTCATCTTTTGACCATGTGAATTTTATGGAACGATGGGAGAGAACCTGTAAAGAAATTTTGAAAATTAAATGTTTAATAACAAAAATAAGTATGAGGGTGGAACCTATCGCATTGATAACTTCCCCAAAATAATTTCGGATTCCAACTTTGTATATACTAAAAATTTTAATAAATTTTGATTAAGTTCGAATGTGAAACCTATTGGTCTAATTCGTATTTATCGATTTGGAACATTGTATGTCGTAATATTTCACCGAATCTAGATCAAGTCCTATAATCATAGAGTCTATCTATCTATCAACTCCTTCAGCTCCAAACTTTGTACACATAATTTTTATTTTCCTAACGTTACCTCCACAAATAAATTTAATTTTGCCGGTGCACACAAGACCTCTTGGTCACTAATCTGTATTGAATCCAAACTACGATCATGTATAACGTCATTTTTATATGTTCTTATAACTCGATTGCATAGCTTATCATTGGCCTGTATCGAAATGCCACCATTTATCAATTCAAATCCCTTTCGAACTGGCCAAAGTTCACGTAAGTTCTTATTTTTATATATAACCAAGGAATAATGTTGGAGTTCCAATGGTTTTCCATGGATTTTGCGAAGATTTCGAAAAAACTTCAATGATGTTAAATATGGAGATCTGAAAGAATTGGAAAAGGAGATATATAATTGTTTCTAAAAACTGAAAAATTCATACTCATACTTATAAACCTTTAAATGGCCCACAATCTCCTCAATATCGGCGAGATATTTCATCAATTCTGATTCATCAATACGATTTCTTAAATTTATAACAATACTGCCATTGCATATTTGACAACCATTGAGATATTCGACGTCTTCCAATGTATGAATCCAAAAAGGATTTGAATCTTTTCGAGGGTGACAGACTTTAATACAATTATTTACACCAGTACAAGAGTCACATTCTTGTGTGATATTCTGTGAAGAAGAAAACAGTTCAGATAGTGATTATACATTATTTATAATTATTCGACACTCACATTTTTGAAATATCCCCCGGGACACGATGTTACGCAAGTATTTTTGTAAATGGCTAATTTCTTGGCAATACACTCTTCACGGGTATAGCAACGTAAATAATCTGCAGAACTATACTTGTCTGGAGGACACTCATCGACACATACACCGTGATCGGTCCATGAGCGACATACATAACAGCCATGATTGTCACAACCGCCCAAACATTGTTGATCGCAGTGTTGTATTCCCCTGTAGAAGTGAGAAGAAATTTATTGAATTAGAATTTGTGTTTATGGGTTTCTATTCTATTACTTACTCCTGCATTTTAACGACATTATCATTTTCGAATTTCTGGCATCGCATATTTGACCAACAATAACCCGAATTACAGCCCGAACATGGATCAATGGCCGGACATTTGACATCCGTAACAGGAAATATGTGATTCTCACCTGGTGCCAAGGTTAAGCGATTAAAATTTATCTGAAAGATATATAAATTTAATTTAATTTTATAAATCATGAATAGGAATTCAAATACTTACCTTATTCACGAAGCATAGTTTTGGATTGCTACCAATAAAAACATGTCCACGTTGAATGGCTACCAAGCGAGGAAATTCCACCTATAATAGGAAACAATATTTAATTGAAACCCAAATTAATTTAAAAGAAGTGGCTCTGATGAAACAGCTTGGTGAAATGTATTCTCTGAGATAAAAACTTTCAAGCGTAAATCATGGTGGTGAAGTATTTACAGGTGTAATTCCCCTCTTAATTAAAATCGAAGGAAAATATATCCCTCCATATAATTTGTATTAGCATATTACAACGAATCACAAAAGTCGAAACTTTTAAAGAGACAAAGATGTCAATGTTTCTGATTGGACATGACAGTAGGTCCCTATAATTATATCGAAGGAAAATTGGACACAAAGAATATTGTGAAATCCTTGGAGAAGATATGCTTTCCCATTTTGTGAATAACATCTTGTCTTCCGGCAAGATGTTATCCTAACGCTAACCACCAGGGGAAATACAGGTTTTCTTCTACATGCTAAATTAAAGATCCATTAAATCATATATATTCTATTCCTACGTAACACTTACCCTTTCCAAAGAGTCCATCGATGATATACCCAAAGCATAGTTCAGAAATACTTTTCGTCCTCGTATCACAGTTAGATTAGGAAACATATCACGGAATGATGTTAAATTTGTCACTTTTGAAAATAGCACAAAATCTGTGACTTCGCGTAATTTTGGAAAACTATATTGGGAATAATCACAGGTGTCGTTGGTCGATAAAAGGACAATAATCATATATCCCGTGATGACAGTGCAATTTTCTAAATGCGCCAAATTTTCACATTCGTTGCGTATGTCCATGTTGGGGCACTCAAATGTTTCTGGCAAAGATAATGTGCTGTTGCCAACAGCTGTAGAATTCACTGCAGCTGGTGTTAATGTATTTAGAGAAGTGGACGAGGCCATGCCACAACATGTTGCCAATAAAAATATGACGAATGTTTTGCTGGACGTTATCAACATGTTGCCATTGATGTAATAACTTATTGGTCGTGCCATAACAGCTGGTGTGGTCAACAGCTGTTAAGTGTGGAACTCTGTGTGGTTGGTGGGGGGCAAGGAGCTCTATGTATGTTACTGGGAACTGGAGCAACAAGTTTTTTGTCTGCATGTATGGTTTCGTTGTTCGTGCTGTCTTGTGAATACCCATCAACCGGCAAAGCTGGACAACCGGCCGGCACAAAACACGCGGACAGGCAGCACGTGAGCTATCAATTATTTTTGGCGGTCGTCGTTCGGAATTTTTGTTTCGTCCGTTTTGTTTGTTTATTTCTTGTTTATGACTTGAATGTAATTCCTTTGACTTTAATGGGCTTCCTGCTGTTTGGGATAGCTGCACGGCCAGCTTAGCTTCAATGTTGTTTTGCACGGGTATTTGTTGTTGTTGCTGCTGTTAGTTTTGAATCAAAATATTGCGCTACACATGATGTGCCTTTATTATGTACTTACTCGGTGTGCTGTGAGGTCACTTTCGGAATAGTAACTGTTGCTGACTTCATTCGTTGCTGCTGTTGGTCCACAACAGCATACATTGTTGCAAAATGGGAATTCCTTTTGTTGTTCGGTGTTCTTTCGCTGTTCGTTGGACGACAACAATGATTTTTATCTGGAGTGGAGTATTTTGTTGTTTATGACTTCTTACCACGTAGGTATGAATGGGATTCACGCGCACGTTGTTGCTCCGTTTTTTTTTTAGCTGGGCGATGGAAGTATGTGTCGCACTTTGTTTCACTTTTGTTTATGTAATTGTTGTTATTGCTTGATAGTTGTTGTTCAGATTTCCTTTATTTTTTTATTAGGTTCCTTGTTAGCTTCTTTTATGATCTTCATAAACATTGACGGTTTCGTGCCGCTCGGTTATTTAACACCAGATTATTTTGAAATTGATAATGAGACCATATTCTTTCTGTGTGTCGTTTCTGTTATGGATTAAGAAGATTCCCACACTACTGTTCGAGTGTAAGAGGTGTAAAAATGTTAATTAGTGAAGACAATTTCATATAGTTTTTCTTATAGTTAATTAAATGTAGTGTGATTAAAAGCAAACAATTAGTTATTAGTTGTTTGGGAGGATTGAATTTAAGTTGTTCGAAGAAAATTATTTTCCAAAGAAATATATCATCGACTAGATAGTTGTCAGACGATATCATACATTTGATGATCTTCGCAAATCAATCGTTTTCATAATGAAATAAAGGGAGGAGGGTGGATTAAATGTTAAATTCACATAGGTCAGGTTTTTCAGTTAGGACGTGAACATTTTTTTCTGGACAATTCGATTTGACTTAATATGTCAAGATATTAAGTTAATTTTTTTTTAATATTTACCACATGTAGTCCTTGGGGCCTTAATATTTTATTCTTGCGAAAATCGATATTTCCGGAGATATGGGCCGCCAAAGTTCCGTTGGGTCCTTTGTATTTTCTCATAACTTTTTTAAAATTCACTAAAGCAATATGAATATTACTTTAAAGCAGTTGAAGCCCTGATTGCAAAAATTTAATATTCATGTCAAATATGTCCATAATTTCGGAGATGTGGGTCTCCAAATTTCGGTAAGTACCATCCACGTTTTTGTTGTGCCATCTGTCCATAGGAGAAAGTCTTAAATCTCCAGCCTGCTACCCATAAACACTATTGTAATTAAATGGAGATTCTGTCACGTAGCCGGAGTTGCCATTTGTTCATAGGAGATAGTCTTAAATCTCTGGTCGAAGTTCGGCTACCCACAAACACTTTTCTAATTATAAATGTAAACGTATTTAAATTAGGAGCTCGATTTACATTAATGGTTTATGTGTTGGGTGATAATTTATAATCCGTTATCGGTTAATCTTTGTTTTGGATGGTCTTTTAAATTTAAAAACAAATGTCAAATGATGATTATTTAATTAACTATTTAATTTCCAATAAAAAAAATGGTTGTTGAGCAAATAGTTCAAATTTATGAATTATTTGGCTGTAAACAAAATGTCCCAGTGCCTTAAAATGATCTAAAAAGTTACAGGATGGGGACTTATTCCCTTATAGAGATGATTGAGCAAATAGTTCAAATTTATGAATTAATTATTATATATATATATATATATATTAAGCGTAAAATATTCGAACGCGGCCGCCGTTTAAACAAATGCGACTTAAAACGTTCCTTATGTAAAGGAATGTTTTTTGATAAGTCGCATTTGTATACATATAAAATTGTCATATTCACGTTCATGTGGGTTACTCGTGACGATACCTTGGCGGATATTATGAAGGAAACAACAATGTTCAAGACTGGAACAATTTTTGCCGAGAAATTTGTGGTCCCGGAATTGCGGTTGAAATCGACGAATCGAAAATAGACAAGTGGAAATATAATAGAGGTCATGCTGTGCAGGGGCAGTGGGTGTTCGGCGGGGTAGAGCGGAAAACAAATAAATGTTTTATAGTTCCTGTGGAGGACCGTAGTAGGGAAAAATTGATACCGCTAATTAAAAAATATATTTTTATCTGAATATATCCGTAGAAAATTATTTTTATATTCAGAAATTTATCTCTTTAAGGTGATGCAAATCCAAGAAGTAAGATCCATTCGTTGAATTTTTGCGATTTGTGTGTCAATTATATGACATAGCTAAGTGTAATTCTTCCGACGACGGAGTCGAGATTCAAATAGAACGTATTGAGGACCCCATATTATTTAGTAGCGACAGTTCCGAGTCGGAAGATTCCTCAATACAAAGAAGGAAAATTCGTACTGGAAGTTAGAAAGTTCACCAGAAATTTCTGACAATGAAGGGATAATGGTTGTTAAAAAAGAAACCGTTGTATATAAATGTAGATACTTTATTGAAATATGAATTTTTATGAAAAAAAAACTAATGTAAAATTGAAATGGGACATTTAATAAAATTGTTGTAAACACGATTTGAATAAATGCTATAAAATTATTCCCACATTGTCTTGGTTAGTACTAAGCTTAACAAGTCATTGAATTTTGGACACATTTCTGATAATAAAGTTACATTTTTGCAACTTGTGTTTCAGACGCTTTTATATATTGTTTTTCAGAAGGATCTCGCGGAATTTTTGAGACCCATATCTCAGAAAGTATGAACTTATTCGATATGAATATTATATTTTTGTTATCAAATCATATCTCCGGAAATGCAAGAAAAAAGTATACTGTTATAATCAAGGCCTTAAGGACTACATGTGGTAAACAATTTCAAAACGATCTAATATTTTAATGTTCGCAGATGATGTAAACTTTTTTGTGGTCTATATACATTTAACTCTTCACTAACACTAGAAATACTGGAATGTATATACCTATACGGCCTAAAATCGGTTAAAAGTCTGAAAGAATTTGTATTGTGTAAAGAATTTTTTTAAACTTATTTTTTAATATTTTTTACATTATTTACAATCATACAAAACGTTGTTATTATTTGTTTGCGGTGGGAGGTTCACTTTTTGAAAAATAAGAGTAAGTGTTTACTCTAAGAGTGAAATCGACTGGAAATATACAATTTATTTTTCCGTTTTGTGTGTTCGTTTGTGTTTCTTATCATATAAGAAATTTACGTTATACAATAATAAAAGTAGTTTTAGTAGTTAGGTACATCGCTAACTTTAAAAAGTGTTAAAAACTAACTCTTTGTCCCATACCTATTGATTACTTTATAGGTTCTCATAAACTGGACTCTGTAGACTCGTTAAAATGTGTAAATATAGCTACCTTATATAATTTCCGATTTTTTAAGTCATATCGTTTTTGGAAATATGAAATAAGAAAAAACAACTAAGGTTTTTTCCATATTATATTCTGAGTTTTACAACGAGTGGTTTTATCTAGGGCTGAGGTGAGCACAACCGTTGCCAAAGTCAATTCAAGGACCCACAATCCTTAAATAATAACACGAGTTGAGCAAATTTTACACTTGTATATATAGTCTTTATGTTTTCTATAATATTTTGCGTTGTTTGTTTTTGTAATCTTAATTATTTTTGCAAACTCCCGTAAAGATTTCACAACAATGTGCAGATCTATTACAAATTGTCATTGTTCGTCTGGAAGTTCACTTGATTTTCTACTCATATCGAGTTTCCCGACCTTTTTTGTAATAGTTGCAACGAATTTTATATATTTTGATAAAACACTGAATTTATTGAAATTTAATACATTGGGATCTTATTGGGTACCAAATTTTTTCACATAAAACTATAAATATAGGTCCATTTTTACTGTTAGCCCCCACCAATTTTCTATAATTTGTGTATTTTTAGCGCGTTTTGAACCAAATTAATTGTAATTTGGCACTTTTCGTTGCCATTGGGTATTATAACTCGCCAATAATAATTATAAATATAGGTCCAAAATTTTCCCGGTAGCGCCCATATAACGGCACCTTTAAATTTTCAGTATTTCGGGGTGTTCAAAATACTTTGAACAGAATTTTGTATTACAGAAGATTTGAAATTTTTTCCACAATTTTTTTAAAGATTTTTTTTTAACTTTCTACGATTTTGCTATTATTTTAAAAATATAACATTAATTAAATTCCGCAGAATAATTAATGTTTTTATTTTCCCTTAAACATTTTTTAAGAGAAATTTTGCACACCATTGGTCTAAAATCCCACATAAAACACTGATAAAACAGTTGTTGTTGGTGTTGAGATTTTACGACGCACACTATGGGTAAACTCTCAATTGTATTATTAGTACAAATATTTTATGGATAAATATGTTGTGTTTGAGATTAGGCTAAGCAAGAATTGTTTAATTAGAACCTGAGGATAAATATTTTACAATAAAATTAGTGACCTACAACCACTCAACAAGAACAGTCGGTAGCACCGTGTCTCAATAATTTTTTGTACAGAAGAGTGCCTCACAAACACTCACAAAGAATGGAGAATATTCTGTACTCGAAATTGTCAATTTATACACTACGTAGTTAGAATTCTAAGATCAT